CTTTCTGCTGTGTCATGGTACTCAACTATGTGCATGCTCCCAGAATCTTACAAATGTCATTATCCTCACCCTATCTGTCCTCAGACCAAACAGATCCTATCAATGGCTCCCTGTGTCCTACCCAGCTTCCTGCTAGTTCTCTCTGACACGCAACTCTTGAGGGTGGTAAGAGCTTTTCATGAAAGGATGAACCGAAATTACACTACCTGGGACCATTCAGATTGGATTTCCCCTGTTAAGACGGTGTGTTGTGTCTTAAAGGAAAAAATACTGAGAATTATTAGAAAGGACTGTGTTAACAAAAGTTGGTATTTTCTAGGGAAAATGATCACAAGAGCTTACTTGCAGAAACAGTTTTCCCTTGGTTTACCTCATTTTGTACACACTGACCCATTTTTACCTTGTGCAGACTCATTGATAATTGTCCTAATAACTTTTAGAAGAATCATGCCAGGTTTTGTCTGTACATGTTCAAACACTGGGTGGAAAAATGCCCACAGTAATGTGATACTTTCAAATATAGATGGATCTTGCTTCTAGAGAACTCAATATAACAATATCCTAATTAATCTAAAACCAATAAAGCAGCCAATAACTATAAGAGATTTCTTTCTCATAAAAATAGATTCATAGCTTATATTTCATGATACTTAAGATGGCTGCAAATTATATCACATTTAATGTCCTCCGTTAAAAGAGCACCTACTTTTATTTCTTTTGTTTATATTTGAAGGCTAGTTATACTTTATTCAGGAACAGAAATAGTCTAAAATTCATCAGCTCTAAATATGAAACAAGTAACAGATCTGACAACTAATCTAATTAATGAAGGATATGTTATAAACCAACACAAACCCAGATGCATGTAAATGAAGTAATTAAACATGAACCTAATTTCAGAATTGCCTCTTCATCTTTATTTTGCACTTTAATTACCTCATTTATATAAGCACAAATCCTTTACCCTACTCTTGTGTATCTTTATGTTAAAGTTCCCTGTGCCTAACAATGTGTTAAGCTTATAAATCTTTAATTAAATGCTGTGAGAGCATATATCTATATTTTTAACTCAAGATTCTGGTTAAGAGCAGCCGATTTTAAAATTCAATCAAAGGGCCAGCTGGTGGCATGGAGGTTAAGATGGCTAGATCCCAAAGGGCTGATTCTCTGGTTCAAGTCCTGGACCTGGTGGCTTAAAAAAAACAACCTGGACACTTGTGGGCTTCTGAGCTCAGCAGAATGGAGGAGATGGGATTACAGCATGGCCATCCCTGCTGGGAGGTGTTTTCTTACTTTTTCTCTTTCTCTCTAGTGAGTGCGCATACCCTTATAGCAAATTAAAAAAAAATTTCAATCAATATACAGCTTTTAAAGAATATATTTAAAACATTAGACCTGGGGCCAGCAGATAGCATAGTGGTTAAGGTGTTAGACTCCCACTTGATTGACTGTGGTTCAAGTATTGGACACTGTGGCTTGAAAATCAAGCTGGACACATGTACAAAGTCCCAGGAGGAGAATGGAGGAGAAGGGATTGTGGTGTGGCCATACCCTCTGGGGGAGGGGGTGATTCCTCACTTTCCTTCTCTCTCTCTCTCTGTCTCTCTTAGGTGAGTACACATGTCCTATGACAAAAAACCTTTAAAAAAATTACATCCATTTGTTTAGTTTTCTCATTCTCCTTTCAGATGTTTTTAATACTTTGGAATTAAGTCCATAAACCACTTCAGAGAGATAAGGTCTAATCTTCTTTAGAAAGACTTCCAGGGAAATGGAATCCCTCATTCCCTTTAGCTGATCTGTTTCAGTGTTTGCCAACTCTTCCCTTGATCTTAGCCAAAAGGCTGAGAAGCAATTTAAACACATATTTTCATATTTAATCGGAATCCCTCATGCCTGGTTTGAGTCCACTTCCACCCCTTGGTTTTATCTGGAGATGGAAAACAAGAGGACAATAGCCTCTTGGAGAATGGTTTTCACACTTCGGGGGTTCTCTGCTAATTACTACTCGTCGTATTCGTCTTTCAGTTGAATGATTCTCGTCTCATAACCCAGTGATAAATCAAATAATTATGTGACTGGCACCATAGCTACAAACAGCAATTATCAGAAGAGTCACATGACAAGTGCATACCTCACGGACTTGAGCAAAATGTTATGTTTTAGTACAGAATTTAGAGACAGAGAACCTGGAAGGTCTGTGAGAAAGGCACATAAAGCTTAAGAACTTCCATCTTGATTTCATTGTCTTAACCTTTGCACGTAGGTTTGATGTTATAACTCTTTAATTATCTCTGTGGTTTTCCACAGAGCCTCCCCAAGTTCCTACGCTCCTCATTAGTGGGTCCCAGGTCAGGAATGAGTGTTCTTGCTAGAGACAGACTGGGGCTGACTACAACAGCATGGTTCTTGCTCATTCCACATCTGTTTACACAGTAGCATGATTGTTTTTTCTTGCTCTTTTAATTTTTAAAAAGAATGTTTCATTTACTTTATTATTACTTTTTAAAAATTTGCCATAGGGCACATGCACTCACCAAAGAGAGAAAGAGAGAGCGCAAGAGAGAGACAGAGAGGGAGGGAGGGAGAAAGAGGGAAAGTGAGAAAACAAGCCATCAGGTCTGGGATTTGAACTGGGTTGGCCATGTCGGAGTCCAGTGCCTCAACCACCACTTCACCTGCTGGTCCCCGTGATTGTCTCTCGAGTAAATGAAAATAGTAGTGCGGTCAGCTGCTCTCTCCCTGTCAGCCATCATCTATGACAACACCTAGGACTTTTTTTCAAGTTATTGTTATACTTGTTGGGCTCTTAATTATTTTGGATGTATTTGTATGTTTTCTTAGCTAGGTGTAATTCTGTACTTTCTACTGAGTTTTAATTATTCTTCTAATTTTTGATTTTGTACTTTTTCCAGGTTACCTTGATTCTGATTCTATTCTCTAAGCTTACATTTCTGGCTATTCTGCACAATCTTGAGAGCAATCTATATGTCCTTTACTACACCATTGATTTTCTTCCCCCACACAAAATATCAAGCTAGACTGGCAGCGACTATTACCGACAAATTAGTTCCTGCTCAGAAATGGATTTTAAAATCTTGCTTGAGCAATAAGATAGTCCTGGCCAAACCGGGAATTACTGTACTTTTGCAAGCCAACTGACACATCCTTAGAGTACTTCAAACACTTAAAAATATTTGGGGGGCCTGAAACAGTGATCATTACAAATTACAGTGTGTTTTGAGGTTATTGTGAAACTCAAAGAACTTCTTTCTCTCGGACGTTGGTTTCCCAGGAAACAAACATCAAACATACAACAGCAACAGAAAACATACACAAAGAAGTTTTATCCTATCTTCTAGTAAGAATGAGAAGTATTTTTCAGAAATATTGACTCTGCAATTCTGTCACCAATTCAAGTGATCTGATTATGCATCCCAACAAGAGATGAAAACTTTTAAAGGAAGGCAGTATGGTGTACATTTCCGACTCTTGGTCAACTCAACTGAAAAGAATTAATGGATGCATTTATCTAAGCAGGATTTAATTTGAATGTGTAATTAGCTCTAGATTACAGCGCAAGAAAGTGTATGCACTTAAAAGGAAAACTTACATTAATTTCTTTGAGCCTGGTGAACATTATGTGTGCTATACAATCTATAAAATAACATCATCATTACACATAAGAAGTAAAATGTGAGAAATCAGATGCCTATTAAGACATAAAAATTGATATAAAAAACTATGATATTGGGTTGCAAATAATAGACCAGATGTTTCAGAAAAGGAATGAATGAGTTTTGACATATTTCCAGATAACTGAAATTAGCCACAATTTCCCTTGGGTTATGGGGGGTCCAAGTATCCCTGCTGTCACGGTTAATGCATTTTACTCCCTGACAAAGTATTGTCAGGTGGCTTGTTGTAAAGATAAAAATGTGACTCCGAAATTATTATGAAAATGTCACATAAGCAAGTTGCTTTATTTCTACCAATTTTCATACATCTGAGCCTTTACTCAGAAGTCTGATGTAATGGTTCTTTCTGTCACTTTCTATAAATCTCAAAGGATTTTAAACAGTGGATGATTTGAAAAGTAGAAATCCAGAAGTTACTAGGATCTGTGACTTTAATGAGATGCTGAGTCCTATGAATCAGTTTCAGATTATGTTTGGGCAAATTAGCTTTGAAAATTAAATTTAACAGATGTTAATCACAGTTGCCAGGACTTGGATTTGATGGCCAACACATCTGGACTTAGCATTAGATGCCACGCAATTGCACGGCCCCAAGCCTAATTTGGGACTGGTTAACTCATTTTATAGTGGGTGCCTTCTTTACCCAACATGAGCACTCAGAGTCACACTCTATTTAGGGCTTTGGATTCATTTCTGGCTTGATCTCTCCCCATAAAGCTCTATGTTTCAGAAGAACAGATTTCCCTTAAAGGTTTAACATTGATTTTGTGTTTTTTTTTTTTTTTTTTCGGGGGGGGGGAGGTTTTTGCCATACGGCGTGTGCGCTCACCAGAAAGAAAAGAGAGAGACAGAAAGTTAGAAACCACCTCCCAGGAGGGATGGCCATGCTGCAATCCCTTCTCCTCCATTCTCCACTGGGTCCAGGACTCGAACCGCGTTCAACTACATGGGAGTCCAGTAACATAGCCATCATGCTAACTGCTGGTCCCAACATTGATTTTGTTCTTAACCTCTCTGTTTGCACTATGAACTCACCTACCAAAAATCCTACCATTTCCTTTTTGTTCCCTCTTGGTTCATTGTGTTGCCCGATTTTTTTTCTCTTATTTCTTCCCTAGGATCCCCTCCCAGCTCCCCCATTCCCCTAGAAAGTACCTCTTGAGAGCTCCTGGGTCTCCACTCGGAAGCTGCGTTGGTAGGTTGGGACTGTGCAGGCATTGCCTTGTGTTTTTTGTTTGCATGATCTGTAGAGGATGCAGAGCTCAGGGATGATGTAAAGCAACAGGAAAACCCATGCATTGGTGACCAGGGCAATGCAGATGACTGGGTCGTCCCACTGGGGCTGGCACTGGAGCTGTCGGTTGCCTCTCAGGAGCATGGAGATCCACACCACCCAGATAAGGATGGAGATGAGCACAGTGACAAAGATGAGCCTTCCATGCTGCTTCCAGTTCTCACATGGGCCACAGAAAGTGGCTTTGGAAACGAAGAATGTGAGGGCCATCAGGAAGAGGACATAGACCAGGAGGACGACAAAGTCGACATTGAGCTGACAGGGTGTCATATGCACAAACAACCCTCTGGTGGTCATGATAGTCACGTACTCAATGGCAATAACGATCTGCAGCAGACTGGCACAAATAGCCATACACAGAATTGTTGTCCAAGAGTAGGAGACTCTACCTCGGACCAGCTTCACTAGGTGGAAGGCATGTGCTAACAGACATGAGAAGCAGAGAGCAAAGAGAACTCCAAAGAGAAAGTAGCGTACAGGGGCAGTTTGTTCATTGAATTGGATGATGAAGGCAAAAGCAAGTGCAAAGAGCCCAAGCACCGCCAGGAGGAAGAGGACCTGGGTGGGGAGCACGTTCCACAGGCAACAGTCTTGGACTTTTCGTAGGAGGAAGAGTAATGCCAGGAGGAGTATGACTGTAACCACTATGCCAATTATTGCCAGGGACTCCATAACAATGGCCCATGGCCCCTCACTCTCACAGACATTGAAATAACAGTCTCCAGTGGAGTCGATGCAGTCCTCATACATGGTGACCTCTCAGTGGACCTCGAGGGAATGATCTTCTGACCCCCTGCAGGAAGAATATGAGACAAACTCGTGACTTTACATCCACCCACAAGAATGCCTGTTGGGTTGTCATGTACAGGACACTAAAATGTCTCTTTCCCAGGTGGAGACACCTGGGCATAGGGAAGAAATGGTTTGTCCAGAGTTGTCACTAGGATGCAAGAGGGAGCCTGAGTTATACTCTGTTTGATTCCGGATAACTACTCTAATGCTTAGCTTCTCAAGATGGGAAAACCAGAGAAATATAGAAACATGACCTAAGGAGATGGGATATGCCATCACATATATTGTCCCCCGATTTATAACTGTTGTATAGATGACATCCATAAAGGAAATTCAACATAACCCCTCCAGGACTATCTTAACCCCATTCTTCTTCACATAGATTTCACGTGGTGGTTCCAGGTTACCCACCCATTTGCATAACACAATCTCCAAGGTTTGAAGGCTAACACAGAATCTTTTTCATAAAATGTGGAGTGTGATAATTGATGGGATGCCAGTTATATCATAGTCCAGAGCAAGGGTTGCCAACGTTAATGGATTATTAGATTGTTCTAGACACTGATGCGCTGTTTGAAGGAGATAGGCAGATGATTTTCTCCAGAAAAAAATTTTTTAAAAAATATTTTTGTATACTTGCTAGAGAGACAGAGAGACAGAAAGTGAGAAATCACCCCCTAGGGGTGATGGCAATGCCACAATTCCTTCTCCTCTATACTCCTCTTGGGATTTTGGGCACGCATGCACACATGCTGGGAGTGAGTTGAAGCCGCCAGGTCTGGGACTTGAACTGAGTTGACTACATGGGAGTCTAGCAATGTAACCATTATACCATTTGCTGGTCCCAATCTCTAGTAATTTAAATAACTATTTTTTCTTTCAATTTAATTCAAGTCAATCCAATGCAACATGTTATTGAACACCTACTACATGTTTATTGAAAAATTATACAAACAGTTCCTTCTTTTGAATAGGTTTTTGGACAGTTTAGCACCAAAGTTCATATTTTGACTAAGGTAGCCTAGAAAACAAAACAAAACAAAATCCCACATATTCATTTGAAAAACAACAACAACAACAAAAACCCTTGCAATTAAATATTTCTAGCCATATGCCCCTTTAGTATTCTGAAATACTTCGTATGGTTGGAGTGATCCAGTATTACAGCTGAGGGCAAAGATTATTATAATTCCGTCTTACCTTCTCTGTGTCCACTCTGGAAGGTGAGGCTGTGGTGGTGGCGAGGTTGTAACTGGCAATGAGTAAGAAGGAGACGACCTCAGCTTCTTTAATCTCTCCCCAAATGGGCGGAAGGACTGCAGGCCCTCACTCAGGTTCCTGCAGTGCCTATAAAAAGAACCGGAAGGACAGAAAGACACACCTATTCCAGTTTCACGGCTACTTTTCTGCAACGATTTCTTTGGCGAGAACAATTATTTTTCATTCTACTACTGACCAGAGGCCCCAGAGCCTCAGGAAGGTTCTGGAGGGGTGTGAATTTAGGAAGACTGCTTCCTACCCTCATACTGTATTCCAGTGTAGTCAAGAAACAAGAGGCCCTCTGTTGGCCTTTCACAAGGACACTTCATTCTTCTTCTGACTTATTCCCTGTATGTTAACTCCATTTCTGTCATGTAGTTTTTTTCTTTTCTTTGTTGTAAAACTTAAGCTGTTCTTTATCTTCTAACTTCAAAAGTATTACCAGCAAGTGTAAATATTGTTCTATACAAATATAATAAATCTGTATATGTTTGCAGATCTAACTTTAACAACTGTTTGTTACTGTACTAAAACTATAAATGTAATATTAAAAAAACCACAAACCATCTCCAGAACCTGGCTCACATTTTTATCTTATTTTGAAAGAACTTCCATTCAACAAGGTAATGAGAGTTCTACTGGGCCATAAGGAAGGATATTTTGCCTATTGGCAATTAGGGGAAATTTGTCTTCTATACTACTCTCATTTCCTCTTCTTTGGAAACCATCTCTCAGGTCCCAGATGTTTATTATAGGTGGGATTGGACCAGCCATTCTTGGTATTGCCCAGAGCTTTGATTACAATTTCCCTCTATCCTTCCTGTCCTCATGTCCAACAGAATTTGCTTGCTCTGAGTCTCATTCTGCTTCTAGATCCCAAGATAACTCAAAATTAAAGGTCACCAGCTGATACTGAAACGACGATTCTTTTTTTCCCATGGTGACATATAATAAAGCATAGTACAGTGTCCATCTTAAACTGATTGCTTCCCTCCACCTCCAGATTTGCTCCTTGGTTCTTTTCCTGAGTATTTGCACTTTGACAGAGAACTTCTGCAGACCCCAGATCAGTTCTTGTTTAATCTGGTGTCAAGTCTGTGATCTGGGTTTCCCCCATCCAACTGTATTTCTTTCAGCTCTCAGATGCTATGGTCTAGCCAAGTTGATTTTCCCATTGCCTCACAAATAAATAAGCTCCCTTTTGCACATCTGCTCTTAGATGTCTCTGTTCCAGACTGCTTTTGTTTTATTCCCACTTATTCTCTGTGATTTATTCCCATCGATCCCATTTCCAGTCGAAACACTCTCTACCTCTAAGTTCTAGTCCATCTGATCTTCTTTATGATGCTTCCTGCCTTCCCCGATAATTCTAGTTGTCACTGATCACCATGAGCTCTACAGACTTAGGGTCTCTATTGTTCAAAATGAAAGAAATCCAATATTACACCTACTTAATTTAATTAATTATCAATAAAGCATTAGGTAATAAATAATAAACAAAAGAATGGAAGAATAAGATCCAGCAGGTAGTTATTAGAGCCATAGTGATTAAGGTGCTGGAGTACCACATGGCTGACTGCGGTTTGAGTTCTAGACTTGGAAGCTTGAAATGCTGGGCGTGTGTGTGTGTGTGTGTGTGTGCCCAAAATCCCAAGAGAAGAATGGAGGCAAAAGGATCAAACATTCCCCCCCGGAGGATGATTTCTCACTCTCCCTCTCTGTCTCTCTCTGTCTCTCACAGAGCACATGTGCCCTATGGCAAAAATCTTAAAAAAAAAAAAACCAAAAAAACAAAAAAAGAAGAAGAAATAAGAAATGTATCAATATATTTTTATTTGCATTAATCTTATCTCCATGATTAGATTTATGGCTGCATGGGGGTCAGCTTCCATTTTTTTTAATTGCCAAAGAGTGCACACATTTACGAGAGAGAGAGAGAGAGAGAGAGAGAGAGAGAGAGAGAGAGAGAGAGAGAGAGAGAGAGAAAGCACTCCTCAAAAGAGTGTAATCATGCTACAATCTCTACTCCATTTCTTCATTCTGACAGGATTTTGGCACATGCACTTGGTGTGTTTTTCAAACTGCTAGGGTCAGGATTTGAACCACTGTTGGTCATGTGGGATCCAGCTCCCTCAACTACTAAGCCACTAGGCCCGGGTTCTACATTTTATGCACCCATAGCACTTCCCTAGTGGATAGATGGTTAGATTAATTAAATAATTTTTTTCAGATTTTTGCCATGGGGCACCATGTGCTCACCAGAGAGAGACAGAGACAGAGAGAAGGGGAAAGTGAGAAATTATTCCCCCAGGGGGGATGGCCATGATGCAATCCCTTCTCTTCCATTCTTTTCTCAGGATTTTGAGCCCACATGCACACGCACCTGGCATGATTTTTAAGCTGCTGGATTCAGAACCTGAACCATAGTTGACCGTGTTAAAGTCCAGCATCTTAACCACAACCCCATCTGCTGGCCCCAATTCCCTTTTTAAATTTTTCTGTTTTATAAGCAAGAAAGAGAGAGAGAGAAAGCACTCAAAACAGGTTCTTCATTCTGTGACCCACCTCTAGCCCTAGGCAGCTTCAAGTCATGGACCCTCAGTGAGGTATCTAGATACAAACCCAGAACCTTTCCAAGGACCTGCCTTTCCAGAGCCTTGCATTACCACTGTGCCACTAGCCAGCCCCAGGTGAACTGTTCTAATAACATTCCAGGTCTTCCAGAAAGTATTTTTCAGATGCGTAGTTTTCCAAAAGATGCGTTTGAATGTAAATCGCCTATGAAGAACTCAGAAACCTAACAAACTCTTGACAAATTTATTCTGAAGCAATGTTCTATCTTTAGACTCTTTAACTTTAAAAAGCCATTTTCTCCTTGGAGAGAAAAAAAAAAATCCTGTATAAAAGAGTGCTCCCTTCACTTGCTTTGGGCACAACTGTGGTCTGTCTGAAGCTGTAAAGGCTCAAGTTTACGCTGAGGGTCAAGGGACTTTCCAGATGATGAAATGTGACATCCATGAGAACCCACCCCAGGAGCCTGGTGAGTGGATAAATGGCTATCAGTAGGTCAACAGGAGGACTTTCCAGTTACTCTTACAAGAGAACTATTTGGCGACCCCCACTCCCACCCTCTTGCTGCCGGTCAGGTCAGTCGTGGTCATCCTCCCTGTTGTGATGTTTTTGTGTCTGGCATGCTTGTTTCCTGCGGAGATTCCTTCTGACCTCCTGACGGCCTTGAGGCCTGTGAATTAATGGGTTAATGACCACAAAACCCTTTGAGCACCTTAGATAAAAGGACCTGTCTCAGGTATTAATTAGTGTCATTTTAAAAATCTAAAGTTATAGAGTTAACCCATCTGCTGCTAGGATATGAGGGCCCTTTTTTTGTTTATACACACTGGATGACTCAGACCTCATTTCTTTTGGCTTCTACGCAGCAACATCAGAACGAACAGCCCAGATACGGCTTTGATGAATCTAAATACATTGATTATAATGAGTTCATTAAAGTGGGAAATAAAACAGTCAAGAGGTCAAACACTTTGTCGCATGCCTTGCTTCTCCCAGAAACAGAGATGAAGGGAATGTTAGAGGTCACCTAGACAAACCCTTTCATTAGTAATTAATAAAAAGAAAGCCAATGCTATAATACTAAGAAATCTGATAAGACAGAAAAGGCCCAGAGAGATGAAAGGATG